GGCGTGGGGCGCGGGGAGCACAGGACAGGGCGCCGTGGGACAGGGGGCTGTGTGCGCGGAGGGGGCGGGAGGTGCGCGAGCGGCGGGATGTGTGTGGGGTGTGCGCGCAGTGGGGCGGGCGGGAACGAAGCGCGGGGGTGTGTGCGGTGCGCAGGAGGTGCGGGGAGCGAGGGTCCGTGCGGTGCCGTGGGGCGGGGGGTATGAGCTTGGCGTGGGTGCGCGGTACACGAGCCATGGGATGTGGGGTGTGCGTGCAGTGGGGCGGAGGGGTCGAGTGAGATGCGGGGGGCGGAAGGACCGAAAGTGCGGGGCGCCGGGTTCCGTGCGGCGGGACACGGGGTATGAGCTTGGGATGGATGGGAGCTACACGAACAATGGGATGTGGGATGTGCGTGCAGTGGGGTGGGGGGCGGGTGGGAATGGAGCACGAGGGTGCAGCTACGGGGGAATGGTGTCCCGGGGTGCGGGGTGCGCGTTCGATGGGATACAGTGAATGGGGCAAGCACGCAGCGGGGTTTGGGGCACGTCTGCAACAGGGGACAAAGGTGCACGCAGCCGGGTGGGTGTGTGGGGTGTGTGTGCCATGGGGCGGGGGGTGCCTGTGCCACGGGGCACGAGGTGTGGGTGATGGGCGCGGAGATGTGTGTGCGGGAGGGGGGTGTTTGCATAACGGGGTATGGAGATGCTTGTGCAGAGGGTTCGGGCTGCCGATGGAGTGGGGTGTGTGGGTGTGCGTGCCGGGGAGCAGCACGGCGGTAAGCATACCCTGTGAGGCGCGGGGCACCCGTGCAGTGGGACACACAGACAGATGTGCAGTGGGGCACAGAGGTGTGCGTGCCAGGAGAACGCGTACAGTGACCAGGCGGTGGAACACCCTGGGAGAGAGGCGTGTGCGTGGGCAGTGAGGGGGCCCGGGGGGCTGCAGATGCAGGGCAGAGGGCTGTGTGCGTGCAGGGGGCAGGGGGCATGGATAGCCTACAGAGGGGCGAGTGCGCCCAGTCGAGTGCCGGGATTTGCGGGGAGGGACATCGGCGTGAGTATGTGAGGCGAGGAGCAGGTTATGGGGCATGGGGAGCTGGCTCGGTAACCAGGGTGCAGGAGAGTTAGGGGGCATCCCCTGGGGAAGAGGGGCAGCTGGCCGGGGGCTGCCGGTGCCGGGGGCAGCGGCGGGGCGGCCGCGGGAGCTGTGCGCGGTGCTGACCGTCATCCGAGGAGCTGTCCGCGGTGCTGACCGGCAGACGCGACTTGGGGCTGCCGTCCCGGGGTGGGGGTCCCACGGCTCCGATCG